TAGTACTATCGGGATGACTATCTCTGAGCGGCCTACCCCCGATAGCATATATCGACTTGTCAACAACTACAGCACAAAAACCTTTTTTTTCTACCCAGTGAAACAAAGGAGTCATTGAATTCATATCAACGTTGTATTTCCAAAGGGCAGGCGAGGACTCAGGGGTCTCTCCTACAATAAAACAGATCTCGTCTTTGATAACCAATACATCATGAATTTCCAAATATGTGCGCTGTAATTTCATAATTGCTAGTTTCGAATCCACTTTTGTCCACGGTGCTGGATACCAGCGGTCAAAATTTGGGTCATAACATTGTGATCTGGCGAAATGTTCAGTAACAACAAATACTTTGCCTCGATGCGGGAATACGCGTGTTGGTTCGCATAAGTTCGGGGGCAAGTGGTACCACTGCTCCGTTGAAGGAATATAAAAGTGGGTGTGGAAATTAAGGCCAACACCTCTGGGTCCACAGTCCGTGACTACGATAACATCTCTCTCCAGAGCCCTCCTGGGAGGGTGTGGCCGCGGAACGTCGCAATCTGTTGATCGATCAAGCCCTAGTGCCACAAGATAAACACTTTCCAGGAACTCTCCATCTTCTTTCACAAGATCATTTGTCACGACATTGCTCGCCATAAAGTCACGCGATACATACGTCAGTCGAACGTGACGAAACAAGTCACGAAATTTTACGCGCCGTTGGCTTTTGTCATGATCAATCCATCGTAGTACCAGTTCAAAAACCTTTTCTTCAGCGTCAATGACAATCTCATCGCTGGAAATCCATTTTTCAACCTCATGGCTTGAGAGGTTTAGAAAATCGTCGGATCCGGCGACGGACGAAAAGTTTGAGTGGATAAATTTCCGACAGTTAGCGATCAGGTCTTGACACAAATATTTTTCTGCCAGGTAGTAAATTGAAATACAATTCGCAGTGGTGATGTGTTCCTCGAGATATTTTTGGGCGAAGGCTTTCAGGTTTGGGAGGAGAAGATAATCTGCTAATTCAAACAGGTTTTCGGCATTTTCTTGAGTGGATATCTGAACGCTGCCGGTGTAAATAAACTCCAGAATATCTGCCATCTGAGACTCAAAGATCATATCCAGCCGAATAACTCCTTCATTATTCTCTTTCATGTCGCTGTTGAGGAGCTTTTCAAAGAAGCTGCTCGCCTGCGAAAGGACGCTTCTATGAGCGTGAAACTCCTTTCCATCTTTCACCACCAAAGTTACATCACTAGGATCTTTATGATCTTTTAGCTTGATATCAAGCCGATTCATGTTTGTTGAAGAGTCAGAGAGTTAAACTGACTCCTGAAGAAAACACATTCATCGCTCTATGAATCTGTCAGCTTCTGAAATCATTAATTAGCACTGTTTCAGTTGAGTGATCCATGTACGCACGCTCGCTTGTCTATAAATGCTGTGTCATCCTTAGCTGAGCAATATGAACTAGCTCTGAGGGCCAATAGTGATATTAACTATTTGAAAACATTCACATAAATTGTTCAACGTCATTTTGCCAAACGTTGAACAAAAGAAGTTATTTCTACAGCCAATATATTTCAGTAAGAGTATTTGGGCGAGTAGTTAGTTCAATTGTTTCAATTTGGAAACACTCTAAATGATTTCAGTCCATAACCTTCAATTTGAAGCAATATTGACTTTCTCTTTCAAGGGCAGCGGGCCTAGCAAGTACACAACTAATCAGATTTCAGATTTATGGACCTCCAATAGAGAGGTCGTAGAACTAAAACCAAAACTATCTCTCTAGCTAATCACAAAGGACATAGGCAATAAGGTGAACCAATCAAAACTCGAAATAATTACATGCCGCTGACGCAAAGCGCGGGAAAACATTTGCGAACGAGTCACTTCTGATGGGACGAGAAAGTGGTGCGATTTTTTCAGGCAATCGTGTTGTGTTGTTGATCATGCAAAACCAATTACTTTTCGAAAGAAAAGACGTTGAGTGGCTACTAAAAAACACCGGTAACGTAACGTGAAATTTAGTTCTTATTAACCGCGCAGGAGGTCTGTATGGGAGAATCTTGACCAAGGTCGTGAGTACAGACCGAGCGCAGTGAAAGACAAGGTCTTTTCGAGTTAGTTTCGAGTCCCTGGGACTCGGAAGTATCGTCCAAGCTCTTAGAAATCAAGCCTAGGTAGGTCAAAATCAAAGTTTGCGCAGCCCGTTCCCTGCTTCCTCCTAGTGTCGGAGTAAGCTATATTTCGGCCAGCATGCACTGTGTCAGGAACATTTATGTTTATCTTGCTGTATTTCCGGACAGTAATTAATTCGCTGCGATTCAAAGTTGTTGAACCTTCAGTACTGTTTTGAGCCAGCGGTTTTCGCCATTCACACCCATCATCCCTTGCGCGGATGGAAGGACCATGTGCTTTTGTAAGATGGCGTCGTGTTTTGGCGCCTGTGTTTTCGTCCGAGATTTTCGTTCAGGTTTATCTTAGTTTACAAAGGACGGTGTCGATGTTCAGAACGGCAGAGANGTTCAGGTTTATCTTAGTTTACAAAGGACGGTGTCGATGTTCAGAACGGCAGAGAACGAACAACAACGTATGTATGAACAATGTGAAGTTTAATTTCTCTTGCTACCTGTATTTTCAATGTTGTTCACTTCGTATCATTACAAGACACATTTTGTAATTTTGTCACCCAGGTTTTACCTACTAGTTCTCTACGAATAAAATGGAGTTGAAACGTCTGTTGTGTGTGGATCGATGCCGTTACATGCACGTAAACAAGCTTTCGATTATTTTTCGCTTGTCGATTTCACTGAAGGACAAGGTTTTCAAATCCTTAAGATTCGAAAATATCGTCCAAGCTCTTGGAAATTAAGCCTAAGTAGGCGGAAATTAAAGTTTGCGCAGCCCTGTCTCTGCTTCTTTCCAGTGTCTGAGTACGTTTAACAGGGGCTATATTTCGGCCAGCATGCACATAACCAAGCTTTTGATTATTTTTCGCTTGTCGATTTCACTGAAGGACAAGATAAGCGCCCTGATTTCAGCCAATAAAATTCGTGAATTCCGTAGTTCTCAGTCCTTGTGAGACACATCCTATTGTTAACTTCTGGCACGAGAATATTCAACACCTCAGCAATTAAGCAATGATGTCCACCGACTTACCTTCGCAATATCCGCGCCGATCACGTCTGAATCCATCATGGCAGTTACACAGAAACGACCCCACGGTATTCACGCATGTCCCGTTACCACAAATACCGCTGATCTGTGAACATTCGTCGTCATCTAGAAAAACCGTATAGGGTAGTTAGTCTTCAATGATGTTAACAAAAGTAAAAGAAATTAATACTACGCTCAAATCAGGCTTCCCAACAAACTCATGAGGGAGCTTGTTCTAAGTACGCTTGTTCATAGTTCAATCATGTCTTGATCACATCTGGAGCAACAAACCGGACCGGATTCTAAACATCAAATAAGATCCAGTGAAAGCATTAACGCTTTCAAACGCAAATACAGCTGTTTCGAGAAAGGCTGTCGGAAGAAAGCGTCAAACCTACCCGATAAGACCAAAAGGTAGTCTGAGTATTCATTGGAATTTTGCATATCGCTAAGAGAGAGCAAAGATGCATTAGATTTTCCACTCACAAGACCGTTTTTCTGTAGCTTTTCTTTCACCGTTACATGACGTTTAGTTGAAAATTCTTTAACGTGGCGAAAAGAACCTTAGTTCCACAAGTCTGACGAAAAAGAAAACGTAAGAATTGACGTTTGCCATGTTGCTATAGCTGATTAAGTATTCAGCATGTGCAGCAGCTCTGTACTTCTACCCATACTAACTTTCGGGGTTGTCGCAACCACTTTTACGCTTTAGTCCGACAAGCTTTCTCGAAACAGCTGTATATCAAATACGTAAAGGAGGGGTACGCTAATATTGGCCATTTTTTAAACAGTTAATATTTCGACGTTTATTCCTTTATTGCACGTATATAGTTAGGTTAATTTTAATTATCGTAATAATTCATAGTTAGGAATTTTTAAATCACTGTAATTATGTATATATTGTTTCATTCATTGTAACTTTTTTATTGTTGTAATTTCGGTGGGGGCCACGGGTTTCTCAGTCCAGGACTGTAAAATGTTTCCCTCGTTAAATAAAGTTACTACACCTCATTCCTCTTACCGACACAAGTCTTGTTGTCGTTTGATTTAACGAAGCCTCTGTCACAACGGCAGTTAAACCCTCCAATGAAATTTTCGCATCGTCCGTAATCGCAGTAACCTGGTTCGCGACACTCGTCCAAATCTTAAAACAAACCAAAATACAACGGCTGCTGTAAGAAGAGCTCTGTAATAAATTTTAATCGTGTAAATATCGCATATAACTTTCATCATATAACATTTTCTAATGCTACGGTTACCGTAGGGTTTTCAAACACGTTTCAATACGTAATGACATTTCTCCTTGTGTACACATCAATCATAAGTTGTTTTTCATTTACACGGAGACACCGGTTTGTCAACGGTTTGTGCATATGGTAAGCAAAAATCCCTGGTGGAAAGTTCCGTCTGGATTGGCCATTTACCATTTTACATAACAAACCTTAATTTACCAAGAGAGCCTAGGATGAGTTCGACCCGATCGTAAGTCCAAGATGGCGGCTGAAACTGGTGAAGAATTGAAAATGGTAAGCACATTTTCCATTTAGATCTTGCGGTTGGAAATTTTGGACTACCTTTCAAGACGTTCCGTTTATCAAGGAAAATTTCCGGTTGGTCGCGGCAAAATTGTTTTACCATTTACATACTGACCCAAATTTCCGGAATGTTTGTTTGGTGGTTCCACAGAGATCCACACAGAGCGTCGGTGATTGGTTATTACTTTGCGCGCGAAAATGTGTAACCAAGCAAGAACCAATGAGACGCTGCAAGCAGCTCTGCAGAGCTAAGAATTTTTCGGATCTGATCTCAGACTTGTCTTTCTACCTGTTCACGTATTGAGCTAAATATGATTGATAAGGCGAGAGGGAACTGGGATGAGCTAAGGCCCAGCGCGAATAATGAACAATTTTCGGACGAGGTTGAGCAAAATATCATGATTTGTCAGTGGCGAGCAGATCTATTATTTGCGAGCAGTTTAATTGATCTGTGAAATGCCAGATACCGGCAAATCACGATATTATGCGATAACCGAATCGTTTTATCATTCGATCGCCAAGTTTGTTTTCATATTTAAATCACTCTCTGACCACTCAGGGAAGCGATCTGCCATTTATCACACAAGAGCGTGGTTACAATTACGCACGAGCAAACCATAATTTGAAGGCAGTCATTTGCACGTCACGCGGTGGGCTCTCGGCCAATGAAAAGGAAGAAAAACCACATCGAGTAATAATAATATAATAGCAGCGTGACATATTTGATAGTCTTCACTGACCTATGCAGGTAAGACCTGTGATGTCGAGTTTTGATCCTGGAGGACAAGTGCAGAGGAAGCTTCCAAACGTGTTCAAACAGCTGCCATTCTTACATGGAGTCATCTTACACTCATCCACGTCTGTTGTGAAAGAGAAAACAAACCCATTTACATACACGCAACCTATGTTACGACACATTAAGTCATTTTTATCAAGTAAGAATATTCCTTCAAAATCGAAGCAAAATTCTAAATACATGTAGTATTAAGTAGCATACTATATTGTGAACCAATAAAGATTATTAACGTTATCGTTATCGTTATCGTGATCGTGATCGTTATTGCTAAGGTAAGGTAAGGTAACTTTATTTCAAGTCGTAAACGTAGGGAGTGGTAGCCCAATCTCCCGAGTCAGGGGCTCATGACAAAAACGCACGACTATTTACAATAACATTACTACTTAAAACTACTATATTCGCTAAGATGAATTCAAAATTAAAATACAAAATACTCCTAAGAGCAGCTAGTCCTAATATTAAAATTTGAGTGAGAAAATACTGTTATTGTTATTACAAAAACACGCTTAAAAGGCGATACAATACAAAAAGGAACAAACCAGAAAAGAACAAGGTTGTTTACGGCAGGGCAAGATTGAGAACGCTGAGCTTGAAAAATTCTGAAAATGAAATATTCCTTCTGCGACCAAGCTCTTTTAGGAGTATTGAAGTCAGTCAGTTTAATACTGTATAAAGACAAAGAGCTGTTAGTTTTTTTTCCTGGTGATCTTATTTTAATGGGAATTAGTCACTAATGTTATCATCAGGTTACTGGCCAGTCCATAAATGTCGTATTTACCTTTACAAACGACTCCTCTCGGACCAAGTGTGTATCCAAGCGGACATTCACACCGATAGCTGGTTCGAGTATCGGTACATTTGCCGTACAAACACAGCTCTGGGAAGAGTTCACACTCATTGACTTCTGCAACAACAAGTTCAGTTTTTGACAATTGAGCTTTACA